ATTAGGACTCTACTGTTATAGTCTCCATGTTCGCCTTTCTTGCAACCTGGGCATTTTTATAGACTTAATGTTTCTTTACTATGCCGTACAGGTTTTTATGGTGGAAGTGTTTATTTTGCCTGACGTTTCGACAGTATCGTCGTTATCAAAGGCCTGAAAGCATATCCCGTTCTTGACTAGTTGCAACCCAGACCAAGAAGCTACTAACGAAAGGAAACTCAAAACTTCAGGTTACCTTTCCACTCCCACCAGCACCAACGATCTGCTCGATTTCAACACAGTGGAGCAAATGAGACCGACCGAGCACTGCTACAGAATGATAGCATGCACGTGTTCTCACTGTTTAGGAGCTCACACAGCTGGAATATGGGCAAAGGAAATCGTCACGTTATCGAGATCGCACTCCTTCCTGTTATTCAATACATGTGATTACGCGCTGCTGTATCCAAAACGCCTCAACGGGTATTTCGGGCCCAACATCGCTTTTCCTTAGCGCCAATATTATGCACTTGACGCTAAAATCACAGCCATCATGAAGCTCTCTTCTATGCCTGCCGAGCGGTGCAATCAAACTTTCCCTTCGCTTGCTTGCTAGATGTTCTTTCACGCGTATGCCTAATGCCCTCCCAGTTTCACCAATATATAATGCGCCACACGTTAAACACTCGATTTGGTAAACGACAGCCCGTTGTGTACAGTCACCGAGTTTCCCATACGGACAGATCACGCAGTTCTCCGTGGTGCATATTCGCGTTCTCGTTAAGGCGATTTCTTACCAGTTGGCGTTCGATGTTTTCTCTTGGTGTGTGTTTACCAAAAGAACATCGTTGGCCAAATCGGCTCTTCGGAGGCACTGCTGTATAACTGCGGTGAAGCGGTCCGATATGAACGGTAGCTGAAGATACAGCTTGTCTTCAGCTCTATGTGGGAAAGGTCTCGCTGTGTTTCGCGTACGCCGTTGCTGCCAAGCTGTGTATCCGTTGAGACTAGCTATCTGAGTTGCTAGTCTCCTGGATTCTTCTCGCTCCTCGTTGCCTTTCCCGCCCCCCACCGTTGCCGGTGCACACCCCCACTGCAGTTTTGTACATGTTTCGTACAACTGCACGCTTAACCGCCCTCGGGTGAGCCGACATTGCGTGAATGATGATGTTCTTGGAGCTCTCCTTCCTATACCATTTTACATTGTAGTGTCCATTGGTTACCTTTATCTGAGTGTTCAAGTACGGTAACCAGCCCTCGCGTGGAACTTCTCGGGTTAACTTGATGTACTGCGATTGGCTGTTGAGGATATTAAATAACTCGTCCATTTCGGACTGAGTAGAGGTGATAACGCAACAGTCATCGATGTAACGGCAGTACGAATGGCGTGACGCGATGCCAGCAGGACGTTCGTTTGCTCATTGAAGCAGACAGCGGACCGTTGCCAGCCGTGCCCCATCGCAAGTTCAGTGGGAAGCGGTTAAAAGCGGATTCGGGATAGATTTCACGCAAAACGAATACGCCTGTCTGTCAGCGACAAGGTGGAGGGTGGTGTTATCCCAGTCCTTGGATCGGGGAACATCACGGAGCTCCATCTTGTCCATACAACTGTTACGCCACATTCGACAAAAATACCTTCAATGCCCAAGCGCACAGGTTAAACACGTTATGGACGAAAGTAGGCAAAGCAGCAAGGCTGGATGAAAGATTTGTCAGAAGGCTTAAGCTGGACTACCTACCTTGCCACAGTGTTTCTACATCTTGATGAAGACTCACACGTTGTCCGCTGAAACACTTACGCTCCTCCTGGCCGGAATGTCTTCAAAATTAAAGACATCATTAAGCTGTCGTGTAAACGGACCGACCGATCGCATATCATGGTTTTTAAACAAAATTGTCGGTCAACTCCTTGTGCATATACCATCGCATTTGTCCAACACACGCCAGTTCCTTGATCACTTACGTTCCTGCAGGCTTCAGCCCGACTGTATTGTAGAATCATTTGACGTGGCTGCGCTCTATACCAACGTTAGCAATAACGAAGCTCTGCAAGCGGTCGCAGAGATGCTTGACGAGCATGCTAGCAGAATGGGTGAGCGTTGGAGTCGAGCAGGAAACACGAGATAATGGTTTTCTCGGGAGTGGATCTCTCTGGCGCGGGCGGTCGCGAATGTACAAAAAATAGTAGCGCAAAACGCTGAGGGCTTTCCGGACAACCCAATAGTTCTATGATAAGTTGTGGTGCTTTTCCTGAATCGCACCGATTTCATGCTCGACCAACAATCTATTGGATGACCGAATACCAATTGTTATCGCCGTTTTTCCATCACAAGCTTCAATACAACGAGTTTTTCATTCACTTACCAGGGGATCTAATCACATACCCACCTAATGACTCGACCATACGAAAATCCTCGAAATCGGAGTTTTTGGTCAAAAACTTAACACAGGTCGGGGATGATGTCACTTGAAGAAAAATATTTCCTTCGCAGAAAATCGGGCGCGTACAAAAAATGACGACTAGTAAGATTACTGTCTGGACCTATTTAGGATCAGCTTGAGCCTCCCCGACTTTTGTAACAACTATTCCCTAGTGGTTTTTCTTGCAAATGACGTTGAAAGGTGCAAGTTTCCTAGCAGAGCTAGGTAGGTAAATCTATCTGTGTGTTTTCATATGGAGCTGCACTCTTGTTGCCATTCGCGCTCCAAGCGTTCATCGTTCCTGGAGCATTCCTTTATTTGTGCTCCTCGTAACTTTTAACTCGTATCTTAACTTTTCCTATTGGGGCTTTCCCTTCTATCGCAGTTATCGCTGCATCGATTCAAAGTACTGAAAGGCTTCCTGTAACACCCTGAAACGTCATTCTCCACATCCAACAACGTCAGCCCACTTTATTAATTCTGATAATAAGCCAGTTGCTTAATCTGTAGCTTTCACCTGAGAAGTCATTCAGTAGGCACTACATGCGAACATTGGACGTTGGTTATGACTTCGAATATATTATGCAATGCTTTGAAGTTTTTGAAACAGTAGCTTTCTCCCAACAACATAGGTTTACGAATATCACCTAGGCACGGATAAGTAGATGGATTCTCAGTTGCACTCAGCCCAACCGGCAACTTGTCCTGCTGTCCTCCTCAACCTCGTCGCTGTGCTACCAGAAATTCTGCGAAAAACTCATCATAACCGGAACGAATGAAGGTATGCAAAGATTTTGCTGACGGCTTTTCAGCTGGCTGGAGGTATCCGTACTTGATGAGAATCTCGTTCAGATGAGTCGGTGGCGCTGGTGGAAATATTTCACAAAAACAACACTCTTGCGTCATCGCAGTCCGAATGCCGTTTCGTAAGCGCTCGCTATGACAGCCAGTGTCCTTCAGTGACCGCTTCAGAAAACCAGGAAGTGCGTGCATTATCAGCTTACCCCAGGAAAGGTGAGTATTTCTTGGATGGCAATGAGCTCATCACCTTTTCACAATCTTTTTCAGTGCTGGCGCACGTTGCTACCCTGCAAGTGCCTTGGAATGTACTATTCCTCAAAGGTAAGCATGTACTGCATAGGTGAGATGGTGAACATTTGTTATTTGTTTACTAGAAGCTACGTGCACCATCGACAGCGAAAAACACAGGTGTTAGTAGCACACCAAATCAAAGGCAAATCAAACCGACACAGAAAGAAAACATAAACCGTTAAATATACCAACTAAATGAGGAGGGAAGCAATAAAAGGAAGTCATACAAGCCAAGTAGAACTAAGGCAGAAAACCGGTCATGCATTCAAAACCTCTTCCCGTTAGAGGAAGAGGAAAGGCTATAAATAACTAGCGAGTTC